GTGTTAGATTCTGTTGCTACATCACTGGTATGGAAACTGCACCACCGCTGAAAAGAAGTCCCTGCAGCGGATAATGAGGACAGCAGAGAGTATCACCGGGGTTCCTCTCCCAGCCATCTCTCACCTGAATGTCAAACCCACAACACAGAAACACCACAAACTGGACTTTCACACTATGCTTATTTGCACACCTTAGTTGAATATATGCTCAAACATGTCTACCTCATGCCAAATTTGCACGTCTTTGTTTTTTTCCCACTTGAACTCTAATTGCACATGACCACTTTGTATTCTATTCATTAAAAAATTTAGCTAGATTTATTATTTGTGAAATTTATGTTTCATATTTTTTGATCTTTATAATGCACCATGGGGGACCTGTGTGGAACGACATTTCAATACACTGTATATATTGTTGTATTGACAATAAACCAATCTTGAATTCGCTGCTGTCTGCTGTTATTAACACTAATGGCACATTAGCGCAAACAAAAGGGCTGCATACGCCGAAGTACGTCTCGCTTGGAGGTTAGAGGTGCTTGATGTTCATTGGTAAGGGAAACGGGCGGTTCTAATGTTACCTGGGTAGTTGTGCCCTTTAACCACGGTGTGATGCCCACCTGTAAACTGTCATCTCTACTTCTCTTCCAGGTATTTAAGAAGTATGGGACTCACCGGCGGCCTAGTTTTGTCGAAGGCTCCCATGGCAACCTTAAAGCCGGCACCTTCACCAATCAGAACGTTCTCAGCCGGGACCCTCACATCCTCAAATGTGATGCCGCGTGTATCTGAGCATCTCTGGCCCATGTTCATCTCCTGAAAATCGCGGGCAAACATCAGCCTGCTTCCCCACAAGTCTCGCACGGCCGCGGCACGTGGTTCCAAAACCAAGAAAAGTTTTAACCTTCCTGCCAAGCTGAATGCCAGGCGTGTCGGCATCCACGATGAAGCCGGTGAAGGCCTTGCCGGCAGGACTTTTGGAATCGGCATCTGTCCGTGCCAAAAGGAAATACCTATATACAGATTTAACAAAGAGAAAAAAAATAATTATATATATATATATATAAAAAAAAAAAAATCAGAATTAGCTTACTGCCCTGACCAAACAACGGCAGGTATTAGTCTGAAGTTAGCTGAAGGGAGAAGGGTTTGCCCCGACACCACAACCCTTGTGAAAAATGGTATCTGCAATATGTTAAGCTGTATGAACTGGCAATTAGAGATACTTTATTTATCCAGTAGAAAATTTAGGTGTCCAGTAGCTTATACACAGTATACATACACATAGGCACACAGACCTATGACATTCACACACACACACATACATACATACTGCAAAAAATACAAAGGAAAATATCGATTGGCTGGATAAAGGTCTGTATTAAGGTGAACATATTATACAAGTCTGATCACAGCATCAAGTAACTGTCCATGAAATCTGCGAGCAAACAGCACCCCTCCAAACGAAAGGCCAGTATGCATATCTGCTTCACAAAGTAGACCTTAAAATCCCAACATACCCAGAACACAATGTTAAAAAGCAGGGAGAGCCATCCAGCATCACAATCTGACAGCAGGCCACTCAGTGTTATAAGCGGCTCCCCCCCCCATCTGGCTCGGGGGACGCTCACCAGTTCGCCTTCCCTCCGTTGGTGATCCACATTTTCTGTCCGTTGATGATGTACTCATTTCCCTTCTTCTCTGCCCAAGTCTTAATTCCAGCCACGTCCGACCCTGCCCCCGGCTCAGTCACGCAGTATGCCTGCCCCCAAATACTGTACGTCAGCTCAATCACATCCAGTCACTGTCCATTCAGCACAACTGCTAGGCTGACTGGGCCCCTGAACAAGGCAATCAGCCAGCACAACAAGCCAGAAACATGTCAGGTGGCTGCTCAGAGAGACCCCAGGGACCCCCAGCAAGCCC